TCTGGAAGGCCTGTCATCGAAAATTACGATAAAATGGCTGAATTGGTCGAAAGAGACCGGCATAGTAGCAGTCGTAGCATCGGTCAAGAGCTGGGCATGAGTCACCAAAAAAAAATTTTATGAACAATTGAAAATTCAATAAAAAAAATACCGCAAGACTTTCTGTTAGAAAATGCCAATATGGATAATAATTCGTCATTCTATTCACCAAATTTACTGAGTGTTAAGCAAGTTCAGTTTCCAGTTCATGCTCTTTTTTCCAAAGCCTTTTTATGAAAGACTGTGCTGWTGAAGTGAGCGATCTAACAATATTTTCTGAATATCATGATCCCGTCTTATATATTCTTTCGCCTTGAAAGTAATCCCCACCAGATATATTACACTTATGCCAACGATTTTACCAGGCTTCAAAACACATTATAAGCGCTTTTTGGGGCATTCAGCACCTTCAGCGAATTTTGTTTTACAGAATTATCAAAAATCCATAAATTGTTCTTTCACAACTTCGGCCATTTTCGACGGATATTGTCACGCAAACGGCCAAATATAACTCCTTATTGACCGTCTGTATCTCCGAAATAAACTCATGAACCAAAGCACTAATATCGAAAAAACAATGAGCATCAGCTTGATTTTTCAGCGTCTTTGGCGTCGTCTTGTTGGTTTCTGCTCGTTTTTTCCTTCCATTCCGATTATTGTTGACTTATTTGCATGACATACTCATAGATCCATGTCTTATTGGCAGTTATAATTCTCTCCATGAATGTAGGATCGGAATTCGCAAGATCAGGCATGTCCAAAGAGACCTTTTACGGTACTATTATTGCAATAAATCCGGCTTTATCGGCACGATTTGAGCAAGAACACCAAAAGCATTCGAAATGTGGATATTTTCAAATTATGTAACTACCGAAAATTTACTGTTGATTCGGCAAATAACTTCAGAGATATGAGAGTACTTGTAAATTTTTCTTCGATTCTTTTTTTTTTAGATGAATTTTTTGGCTCTTTAAGATAATTTAAGCAGACAAATTTACCCGAACACATTTTCTCGGCAGACCTCCATGCGTTTTTTCTCGAAAAACTTTTTTCGAAACAGTCGTGATCGTTAATACCTCTGCCTGACACATAAATGACGCTAGCAGAAATAAATTCATATGAATTTTAGTTAGCCTAACTTTGACTGCTGTCGGTTCATTAGTGTGTAAATTATGATATTTTATTGAAGCAATTTTTGTTATTGTGAATGAAATGGAAAAAAAAGAATTTCACGTGTTGATAAAATATGATAAAAAGCAAAAATTGGCTTGATGACGAGTTTCCGGATACTGCTCTAGAAAAATCAGCCAGCAAAGTTTGGTGTGCTAAGAAGAGACGTGGGGGAAATGAGCACCGAATACGATGAACGCCAGAAAGAGTTTCGGTAACCAACGAAAATATCAAAAAAGGCCAATAAAACAACTTTGGATGACTCTAAATTGAAGTTTTACGAGGTAACAGGCACTCGAAAGATATCAACTAAACATGTACTTATCATTTACGATTTTGTGACTACCTTGGAAAAAGGAGGGAGCATCAGTAGGGATTATTACATAGCGTTATTGGACTGTTTGAATGACGAAATCGTGGAAAACCCCTTACATTTGCAAAAGAATAAAGTGCTGTTTCATCAAGTTAGTGAAAACGATGCCAAATATCCATGAGCTTGTCTTCGAATTTCTTCCCTATCCACCATATTATAAGTATGCATAAATGTAGTGCCCAGCAACAATTTTCTGTTCTCTGATCTCAATGTTGTTGAGATGTTAAAAAATTTTCGTCGAAAGAAGCGGTGATCCGGCGAAACTGCGTCCTGTTTTGAAGCAAAAATGTTATCAAAAAGTTGAAGGGTCATTATAATCAGTATATCACAATTGATATGGAATAAAATGACCATTGCCAAAACAATGTTTTTCACTATGTTAAGAGGAGGACTTTTCAATTGATCTATTATATCACAAAAAAAGTAGTGACAAAAGTTATCTCAAGTCTGTTGGTTCACACGATAATGAAATTTGTAGTAATAGATAAGCTATCATTGTTTTCAAATATTCACCCTGGTCCAAATCGTGAACAGAAGAAGTCGTTCTAGTTTTTACACCTTCTTCTTCAAAGCCGCGTAACTTTATGAAAATTTARCATTATTTTATGAATAAATATGATAAAGATAAAAATATCAATTGCCAAAAATTAAAAAAAATTAAAAAAATAATAAATAATATCAAAAAATGCACGAATAAACTCGTGCTCTAAACTAAACTATCTTGAAATTAATGAAATATAATCTAAGAATAAGAAGAGAATTTCAAATCGTCAAAACGATAGAAGTCATTTCAGTTGTCATGTTCAGTAAGTTGTGTTGTAACTGTAGTCGAAATGTATTTTAACTGCATACATATGAGATGAATTTCCTATTAAATTAGTACATAATGGAATAAATTTACAGCTTATTGGAATTTTTCCARTTTCAAAAATAATTACTCTATGCTAACACAATGCTTTAGTGCTTAACTTCCGCTCAGACGGTTGACGTCCCATTGCGCTTCCATTAATTAGTAATACTATTTTTAACTTAAGCAAAACGTCTACGAATTAAGTACAGTTAGTGAAGCTGTAGTTGCAGATGRCAAGCAAATGAAGTGGAAACGCTCCGGTGACATTTTGAGATGAGATTGTTGAGCGATGACAAAGGCAGGCATGCATATTTATTTATATACAGAGTAATGAGAATAGTTTCGTATAAATGTGCAATTAAGGTGTGTATAAATATGTATATGTATATGTTTATAAATATACTGTACTTTAGTAGCCAAACATGCGGGTGTGAGTTGCCTCCCGYCAAGCAATTAAAGTGAATGGCGCTAGCAAATTGAATCAGCCTCAAATTCAGCGCTGTAAATGTCCAGCAGTTACTTTGTCCGCGCCACAAAAAAGAACACAATTCAATTAGCAAAATAAAGGCATGGCAACAGGCTTTTATACCGTTAGCATTTTAGCATTTTCAAAGCCTGAAATTAAATCGCCGTTTTTGTGTGTCCTTTTCGCTCAGGCTGTGCGAAAACCCATCAAAAACCATGCGCCGTACCGTCACACGAATAACCGCGAAACTATCCCACCAACACAACTAATAGTTCGCACACACACACACACACATTCACGGCGTTTTTACTTCACTGCTTTTAWTCAGTTATAAATAATATTTTGAAGTCCGCAGCAAGGTGTGTGCGCCGCGCCGTCATCATCATCATTATTTCAAATCATTTATCATTAAAGCTAAGCAATTCAAATGGAAATGAGTCKGAAAATGAAAATGAGCGCACGAAAAAAAAAATGCAAATGTAAATGAATGAATGAATAATGTTTGCCATCCGATGAGCCCAGCAAAATGATTTATTCTTATTAATGATATCTATGGCTGAGTGTGGCGCACACCGTTGAACTCAACACTTTTAAGGAGGTAGCTTTCTCCGTTTTCTTCAAGCTGTCATGGCGGTCGACCCTTTTTGTGTAGAGGTGGACAGCGACGCGACGCGACGTTGACGTCAATAGCAGCTGCTTCGCATMAATCAGTGTCGTCACCTGGCGGACCCGTGGCGATTAAAACCAAAACTGATGATCACTCATCAGCGTTGATATTGATGTTTCAGTTTGCAGTCAACTAAATCTGTTGAATAGTCATTGAGATAAGT